TTTAAGTACCATCAAAGAGTACACGAGACTGACAGATTGATATCGATATTTATATAGTTACATTGAGTGTGTGCAATAACTCTGCATTCGATTCTAATTTCCGTCGCGAGAATGCGCGTCAGCCATTTGGGTTCCAAAAATTTACTAAGCACGAGCCACGTTTCGGAAAAATTTCACATACGACAGATAAGATAATAGAATTAATGATTTTGTACAGCCGCTGGAAATGCGGAAAGATTTAAAAATTCCTTTGAATTGAAGGAACTCGCTAAAGGAACTCGGAAAAAAGTGCAGTCACATTTATATTAATTAAATAAAAGTTCATCGCTCTCGTAAGTATGTACATCTTGTTTTATCATCGATTAGCCAATCCAGTCTCTCGCAACATTTGTGCATGATGTAATGAAATCTAAGCTCCTCTCTCGGGCTTAGCACACTTTGGAACTTTATCCCCGGTGATCGATAGAGTTCGCTGCGCGCTCCTCTTTTTCGTACATCTTATCACATTTCAATTCGACCATCCTCTCGCATACAATTCGCACGCCTTCCAGTTATCGTAGACGTTAAGACTATTTACAGGAGTATTTTCGCAAAGACGCAACTTAAGGAACATTTGGTATCATGGGCGATAATTGTAATATTTCGATCGGACGTCGGGTGCGATAATTCGTTCGGACGTCGGGTGCGGAAGATCGCTTCGTCGTCTAGGAACTGTAGCGTTACAAGTAATCGTTGAGAAAACGGGTGGCGATGACCACCCTCGAGCGCGTGCACAAACGGACTCGCGGAAATCTTTTTGTGCAAGCGTGAAGCGAGACGATTCATCTTGAGGAGTGACCGCGTTCGACCAGTATGACGAATTATGACGAATCGGCACGAGAGAGTTGTACGGACTGAAGGATCGAGAATCCAAACAGAGGAATAGATGGGTAAACATAATGGCCGACGGTTGCATCGACAATGTGCGTCAATAAATGAATCTTAGGGTGATGATTTTTGCGTCGTTTAAAGTGTAGAAAGAGGAGGACAATGAAAATGATACTTAAGTATTTGACGTCAATCAACGTTGGTGCAACCGGGCCGAGGATTCGGTTAGCACCCAAAGATCTGAAATCGGAAATCTCCGTTCAGAGCGTCCTCGTGTAAGAAAATCCTTACGTTTTCAGATCGGAGGATTTCGCAGTCTACTGCTCAAAGTTGCAGTATTCGATCGCAGTTTCTCTAGTTGCAGCATCTCAGAGAGTCATGAAATCGGAGATCTCTTTCTCTCTCTCTCTC